ATCTGAGGACTATTTCATTATCTAGAGAAATGTACCTTTGTGTGACTCACTATCTACTATTGATTAAAGACCCAACCTCTGTAAATTTAGATTTTTATTTATAGACTTTTGTTCGTTACAGGTACAAATTATTTCTCTCTGGTAGGAATAAGAACAAAAACAAAAGTTAAGGTTATATTGCCCTGTAGAACACTGACCAGTACTGAATCTAACCTAGCAATCTTATATCAGTATATTCTTTCTTGGCTGCCTACAAATCGCTTTTGGAATTGCTTCACCATTTTGTTAGTTTCCTCATTAATGAGTTGAATAAATTTTTGACACATCTTCAGTCTATATCTTGAGTTACATATTTGACATTTTGAAAATTGTACTTTGGTATTATCATTATTAATTTTTTTCTCCTGAATCTGAAGACGGTCATTCACTTCAGAAATAATATATCCTTGGCAGATGGAGGGAGGACAACACTCTTTATACAGCTTCTATGGAAGAGGTGGGCATTGAATCCTTTTCATTTTGAAATGAACAATCAACAAAAGAGAATGTGAAGGAAAAAAAAGAAAGCTTAGTTGGAGGACCTCTCCCCTCAAAATTCTGACTACTTCAGTAATCAAAACTTCATTAATAGACTCAACAAGTGGTATTAATGAAAACTGAAGACAGTTTTTCTCCCTTGATCATCTTGATCATTTACTGGATTGAATGATAATTCTTCATATTTTCAGAACACTTTGGAGCTTACAAAGAGAACATTATTGGCCATACTAACATTCCAATAAGAAGTCCTGGTGGCACAGTGGTTAAGTTCTCACCTGCTAACCAAAAGGTCAGCAGTTCGAAACCATCAGAGGCTCCTTGGGAGAAAGATGTGGCAGTCAGCTTCCGTAAAGATTACAGCCTTGGAAGTAGTTTCAGTTCTACTCCGAACTGGGGCAGTTCTATGGAACACTTCTACTCTGTCCTGTAAGGTCCCTCTGAGTCGGGATCGACTTAACCGCAACTGGTTTGGTTTTTGGTAACATCTCTAAGAGGCAGGATGAGGACCAGAATCAGGTCTTCTGATTGCTGTTGTTGTGTTGTTAGGTGTCATGGAATAGGTTCCGATTCATAGTGACCGTACGTAAAACAGAACAGAAACACTGCCTGGTCCTGCATCATGCTCACAATCTTTGCTATGTTTGAGCCCATTGTTGCAGCCACTGTATCAACCCATCTACTTGAGGGTCTTCCTTTTTTTTTGTTGACCCTCTACATTACTAAGCATGATGTCCTTCTCCAGGGACTGGTCCCTCCTGATAACATGTCCAAAATATGGGACACGTACTCTAGCCATCCTCGCTTCTAAAGAGCATTCTGGCTGTACTTCTTCCAAGACACATTTCTTCATTCTTCTGGCAGTCCATGGTATATTCAGTATTCTTCGCCAACACCACAATTCAAAGGCCTCAATTCTTCTTCGGTCTTCCTTATTCATTGTCCAGATTTTGCATGCATATGAGGTGATTGAAAATACCATGGCTTGAGTCAGGCACACCTTAGTCCTGAAGGTGACATCTTTGCTTTTTAACACTTTAAAGAGGTCTTTTGCAGCTGATTTGCCCAATGCAATACATCATTAGATTTCATGACTGCTGCTTCCATGGGTGTTGATTGTGGCTCCAAGTAAAATGAAATCCTTGACAACTTTAATCTTTTCTCCATTTGTCATGATGGTGCTTATTGGTCCAGTTGTGAGGATTGTTGTTTCTTTATGTTGAAGTGTAATCCATACTGAAGGCTGTAGTATTTGATCTTCATCACTAAGTGCTTCAAGTCCTCTTCACTTTCAGCAGGCAAGGTTGTGTCATCTGCATAACGCAGGTTGTTAATGAGTCTTCCTCCAATCCTGCTGCTTTTCAGATTATTTGCTCAGCATACAGGTTGAATAAATATGGTGAAAGGATATAACCTTGACACACGCTTTTCCTGATTTTAAACTACAAAGTATCCCCTTGTTCTGTTCCAATGCCTGCCTCTTGGCCTATGTACAGCTTCCTCATGAGCACAATTAAGTGTTCTGGAATTCCCATTCTTCACAGTGTTATCCATAATTTGTTATGATCCACACAGTCCAATAACTTTGCATAGTCAATAAAACACAAGTAAACATCTTTCTGGTATTCTCTTTTTTCATCCATTTGACATCAGCAGTGATATCCCTTGTTCCATGTCCTCTTCTGAATCCGACTTGAATTTCTGGCAGTTCCCTGTTGATGTACTGCTGCAACTCCTTTTGAATAATCTTCAGCAAAATTTACTTACATGTGATATTAACGATATTGTCTGATAATTTCCACATTCTGTTGGATCACCTTTCTTTGGAATGGGCACAAATATGGATCTCTTCCAGGTGGTTGGCCAGGTAGCTGTCTTCCAAATTTCTTGGCAGTGACAAGTGAGCGCTTCCAGCACTGCATCCGTTTGTTGAAACATCTCAGTTGGTATTCTGTCAATTCCTGAAAAAAAAAAAAACAGTTGCCATTGAGTTGATTCCAACTCATAGCAACCCTATAGAACAGAGTAGAACTGCTCCATAGAGTTTCCAAGGAGCGGCTAGTGGATTCAAACTGCTGACCTTTTGGTTGGCAGCTAGTTTTTTGCCAGTGCCTTCAGTATCATTGTTTCTTGATCATATGCTACCTCTGGAAATGGCCGAACGTCAACCAAGTCTTTTTGATATAGTGTCTGTGTTTTTCTTCTATCTTCTTTTGATGATTCCTGCGTTGTTCAACATTTCGCCCATAGAACCCTTCAGTATTGCACCTCAAGGCTTGAATTTTTTTCTTCAGTTCTTTCAGCTTGAGAAATGCTGAGCATGTTCTTCCCTTTTGGTTTTCTAACTCCAGGTCTCTGCACATTTCATTATAATACTTTACTTTGTCTTCTCGAGCTGCCCTTTGAAATCTTCAGTTCAGCTCTTTTATGTTGTTGTTTGTTCCATTTATTTTAGCTACTTACGTTCAAGAACAAGTTTCTGACATCTATTTTGGTCTTTTCTCCCTTTCTTTTTAATGACCTTTTGTTTGCTTCATGTATAATGTCCTTGATGTCATCCCACAACTCGTCTGATCTTCTGTTATAGTGTTCAACGCATCAAATCTATTCTTGAGATGATCTTTAAATTTAGGTGGGATATACTCAAGGTCGTACTTTGGCTTTTATGGACTTTTTCTAAACTTTCTTTAGCTCATCTTGAACTTGCATAGAGCAAATGATGCTCTGTTCCATAGTTGGCCCCTGGCCTTCTTCTGCCTGATGTTACTGAGCTTCTCCATTGTCTTTTTCCACAGATGTAGTGGATTTGATTCCTGTGTATTCCATACGGCGAGGTTCACGTCTATAGTCACCATTTATGTTGCTGAAAAAAGTTATTTGAAATGAAGAAGTTGTTGGTCTTATAAAATTGTATCATGTGATCTCTAGCGTCGTTTCTGTCACCAAGGCCATATTTTCCAACTACTGATTCTTCTTTGTTTTCAACTTTTGCATTACAATCATTGGTAATTATCAATGCATCTTGATGGCATGTTTGATCAATTTTAGACTGCAGAACTTGGTAAAAATCTTCCATTTCTTCATCTTTGGCATTAGTGGTTGGTGCAAATTTGAATAATAGTCATATTAACTGGTCTTCCTTGTAGGAGTATGGATTTTATCCTGTCACTGACAGTGTTGTACTTCAGGATAGATTTGGAAATGTTTTTTGACAATGAATGTGATGCTGTTCCTCTTCAATTTGTCATACTGGGCATAGCACACCATATGATTGTCTGATTCAAAATGGTCAATACCATTAGTCCTAGCTCACTAATGCCTAGGATATCGATCTTCAAGCGTTTTATTTCATTTTTGACAACTTCCAATTTTCCTTGATTCATACTTCGTACATTCCATATTCTGATCATTAATGGATGTTTGCAGCGTTTTTTCTCATTTTAAGTCGAGCTACATCAGTAAATGGAGGTCCCAATAGCTTTACTCCATACATGTCATCAAGGCCAACTCTATTTTGAGAAGGTAGCTCTTCCCCAGTCATATTTTGAGTGTCTTCCAACCTGAGGGTCTCCTCCTCCGGCACTATATCAGACAATGTTCTGCTGCTATCCATAAGGTTTTCATTAGGCAATTTTTTCAGAAGTAGATCACCAGGTCCTTCTTAGTCTGTTTATAGTCTAGGAGCTCTGCTGAAACCTGTCCACCACGGGTGACCCTGCTGGTATTTGAAATACCATTGGCATAGCTTCTAGCATCACAGCAACACTGAAGCCACCACAGTACGACAAACTGACAGACGAGTCCTGGTCAGATTCCTAGACCTTGGATTTACGGCAATGACTTCTTCCACAGTACATAAATTGAATTGCAGGGCTTCCTGGTTTCAACAAAGAGGATAAAAGCGCTCAGTTTAGACCGGAATCCCGGTTTCACTATCCCCTTGTTAGCCGCTTTGTGACTTACTTCCCTTGTCCATAAAAACTGACCAGACATGGTCCTGCCACCCTAAAGATTACATGAAAATAATCAAAGAGTTTAGCACAGAGGTCGGCACAAGGCAGCACTGCTTAAGCCGTAGCAGTTAATACCGGGTAGCTCTTCTCGCTCACTGGGAGCGCCACCTAGTCGTCCTGTGGGCGGAGAAGCCGGAGGGCGGTGGGCCTGCGATGGGCGGCCGCCGAGTGGCTCTAACTGGCCTAGGGCACGCCCCTTCTTGACCCAGGTTCGGTTCCCAGAGTCCAAAGGCCATTCTTCTCCGCCACCGCCTTCGCCTTGGCTGGGCGGCGGCCACTGTGCGGTCACCCCGCCCCCAGCCGGCCCGGGGACGCCGTCCCCCGGGAAACGGGACGCGCTGCTCGTCCGGGTCGAGCTTCTGGGCCTGCAAGGCTCGCACTGCGCGCAGACAGGCAGCCAACAAATAGCAGCAGGTGGGAAACAAGGGGCCGCGCTCGCCGCGCACGAGGGAGGAGAGTGGGCGCCTGCGAAGGCGCTTGATGAGGGGCGGCCTGCCCACCCAGTGCAGGCGCAGGAGTGCGCCCGAGGAAGCGGCCTGTTCCTGGTCCCCTCGGGCGTGCCCGATGGCAGCGCCGGTTGCAGCCCGGGAAGCTCGAGGCTTCCAGGAAGCCCCCATCCTTCGCCTAACCCCGGGCGCCAGCCTGGAGGCGGCAGGCGTGATGGAGTTCGAGGAGGAAGAAGAGGACGAAGAAGAGACCAGGAAAGCGCGGAGTTTCGTCCAGGACGCGCGGGTGCGCTTCCTTGGCGGCCGCTTGGAGCAGATGCTGAGGCTCCCCGAGGAGAAATGGAGTCAGTATCTGGAGAGCCAGGGCAACCGGCAGGACCTGGGGGAGTTTCTGGAGAGCGCTAACTCCGCCTGCCTTCTGTTCAGCACCGCCGCCTCGGGGCGGCTCGCTGTTTCCCGGGAGGTAAGGGGCGACGGGCTAGGGGACTCGGCCACGCCGCCCGCCCAGCAAAACGCAAAGTCCATTCGCGCCTCCTTCGTTTCCGCGGAGCGCTCACTTGGGCACTTACAAAGAAACTTCGCTTGAAGTCCCTGCCCGGCAATCCGCAGAGCACCCCACCTGCGCCCACTTAGCAGTCGGCGTCTGTAGGTTAGGTGTGCAAAAAGCCAGGCTTTTGTTATCTCGCCAAGAATCCTCTGTTGAGTCAGCTCTACTGGGATAACGCAAGAAAAGCAACAGTCCCTCAATGCCCTGGGTATTAAAGTACGGTATTTTCTGTGCTTAATACTTCGGTTTCAGCCACTGTTGGGTGTGTGTTTAAATGCGATCTCCTTTTTAGTTGGGCCACTCTGGAGCCGTCTTCTGAAAAGTTTGGTGTTTGGCAGAGTCCAAATAACTTGTCATGTATTTAGTGTGACTGCCGTCAACCAAATTTCATGACGGGGGTGGGGGGAAGACAAAAAACAAACCTGTTGCTGTGGGGTTGATTCTGACTCGTAGCCCTATAGGACAGAGCACAACTGCTCCATAGGGTTTCTAAGATTGTAATATTTATGGAAGCCGACTGCCATTTTCCTCCTGTGGAGAACCTGGTGGCTTCAAACCACCGACGTTTTGGTAAGCAGCCCGTTTCTTAACCACTGCCACCAGGGCTCCAAAGAAAAACAAGAGTTCTTAAAAAAGGAATGCGGGGGCACTCTGTACACATATGGTGTTTACCAACCAGTTAGGGGAGCAGTTCTTTCCTTCCTCCTCCTCTTTATTGTCTTTCTGTTTTTGTTGTTGGTGGTGGTTTTTGTTTGTTTTTAATTTAGCTTTCTGGTTCACTTGAAAGTTCATGTAGCATCTACAAGTAAAGCATTTATATTTAGCATTTTTCAAGTGTGGAGACTTTAGAGAAGAATTTACAATCTTTAGTTAGTACAGTGCCACAATGTAATATTGTAGTGATACCACTAGATGTGGTTATTACAATAGTTGGGAAACAGGATCCTAGACAAGAAAGAGAATAACGGAGTTTACTCCTAAAAGGTCTTCAAACCCATCACCGTGGAGTCCCTGCGGACTCGTAGCTACCCTATACATCCCCTTAAAGTTGGGGAGGGTTTTTTTTTTTTTCTTTTTCAGTATAGAACTTAGGGTTTTGTGAGCTTTGAAATGTTTCATATTGCTAGAGTCCTGACTGTAACTTGTTTTTTTTAGAAGTTTGTCAATAGACAAGGAGATAAGTATTACCTAAGTTAAATAGTCATTATAATATCTAAAGAAATAACTCAGGACTTGTGAAAATAGTAGAATATCTTGGTTAAGCATTTCTATCCTTTGCCTTGAGGATATATAAATACAGGTCGATTTTTCCCTGTCTTCCCCTCAGTTTGGCTTATTTCTAAACAAGGGAAGAGTACAGAAGAGAATAATTTTTGCCGAGATTGAAGCATTCTACATGCTCCTTTATTTTTTTCTGCATATGAGATTTTATGGTATATAATGACCTCCTGTAATTGACATGCCTTTTAAAGGTGACATTTTCACACCACAATAATACTGTGAAATTATCATTATAAAAGAACAAAGAAAACTATACACTTTGTAAATAGGGGAGAACAGTACAACAGCCTTATTTGTAAAGGGAGGCAAGATGCCAAGTTTTTTTCCTACCAGTCTAGCTATAAGATGGATACAGTAAATTCTACTTGTTAACATGGAAGCTACATAGTGAATTTGAAGAACTAATTATCTTGCTCTTGTTTCAGATTCCAAGAGATGCAAAACAAAAACTTGTGTATATTGCCAAGAAGATTACTGAAAGCACTGGAGTAAATGATTACGCTCAAACTTTTTTATTTGGAGAGTTACCTGCATCATCTCTTGGACATGTAACTGCTTTTCTAGATGAGGTACTAGTCTGTCTTTAGTATTTGAATTTTTCATTTATCTTCATGACACTTGGAATTGTTGGGGAACAACTCTGGCTGTTAAAAAGGAGATAATAGAGAAGCTAGTAATCTCTTTAGCCAGGTTGATGGAATGATAGCATTTAGACTGTTTTCCTGAAATGAGCTGATACTTGGCTGACACTAGTATTCAATAGTTGGCAATTGGAGGGATAGTTTGTCTTTTCTGTCTCTCTTCTTCCCTCCTTTCCTTCCTTTTTTTAAATAATGGAAGTGTAAATAAAAAGCTTGAACAGGCACTTGTACTTAGCTCTAGGTTTTAGACTTTAAGATCAGGGTAGACACAAGTTTACACTTCAGAAATGGTATTAGTTTTTCGGATTCCTGTTAGTTTTTAAGTGTCACTCATGTCAGGTGGAAAAAGATAATAGGAGGAGGGTGATATAAATGATTGCCTTTAAATTCCTCTTTTTCTCCCCTTAAATCAGAGAGAAGTTCTCTAAACCAATGTTACTTGACTTTTAATGTGCATGAGAACCACCTGGGGATTTTGCTAAAGCAGATTGATTTGATAGGTCTGGGGTGAGCCCGAAACTGTTTTTCTAACAAGCTCGTTGATGCTGCTTGTTCACCGACCAGCTTCATAGAACTAGAGTAGTTGTTCCCAAACCAGAGCTTTGAACTGGTTCCTTCCGGTTTGAACCCCTGCTGAGAATTTGCATTCTAACAAGTTCCCAGGCACTGCTAATCCTAGTGGTTAGGGACTAATTCTGAGCACCACTAGTAGAGCTAAAAACCAAAAAAAAACAAACCCGCTAACGTCAAGTCGATTTTGACTCATAGCGACCCTATAGGACAGGGTAGAACTGCTCCACAGGGTTTCCAAGGAGTACCTGGTGGTTTCGAACT